GCAACCTCCAAGCCAAGCTCCATCAAAAACTCACTTTTTCCACCTTGGATGAATAGTGCACGAAAATGGGGTGATGAATATCTCCCTCCACAAACGAAATCAGCTCAAATGGAGGGGTGGAATGGCTTCCTTAGGTGATTTCCTATGGAATTGGTATAATGGGTCAATGATTTAGTGTAGGATTTATGGAGAAATCAAGAAATGAAACAAAGCAAACCCTATCCCTTCCCATGGCTGATCCTCGGGCAGAAGAGAGAGAAGAGAGCAGTTTTTTTAGTTGTGAAATAGTGATTTTTGTAAGCCACTTATGTTTTATAAATACTTGTGGCTTTATCGGATGTTTTTCTATCGCGTATTTTTACTTGAATTGACCCGGAACCAACTTAAAGCTACTGACATATTTTTATTTTTCTAAAATCATTTACATTACTTTTTAATTCTTACAAAACAATATTCATAATTCACAGTATGATTTTTGCACCATTTTTGACGAAATGCACTGTGAATCACTAATTGTACTTCATTTACTTATGAAACTTAAAACTTATAAACTTATCATTTTCTTGGGCCTATATTGACTTGCTTGGCATATATTGGACTTTCTTATTCTTATTTCATCAATTATTTATTTCTGGACTCTACCGGTTGCTTAAACAGCAGTACAAAATACCCGGTAGAAACACTATTCACGAGATTTTCACGGAAAGTGCCAGACTATACAATTTTTCGTTCTGAACTCATATTTGTCGTCAGAATTATCAAATTATGTCTCTAAAATTATTTTGCTCTTTTAAGCTCTACCGGTTAATTCACATAACTGTAAATTCTCCGGTAGAACGCACTGTTCATACCATAGTCATGATTACAGTCAAAATACTCGGAATCACTCACTGAATCTAATTATGGCATTTAAATCCTTAAATTAAATCTCTAATTAAGAATTACCATTTAGGGTCATTATAGTCATTAAGGTGATCTGGTGAATGTGATTAGTAAATTAATTCATTTGCCAACTCATCATTCAACATACTGTTAACGTCATGGATATTTCACAGGTCCACATATGAAAGGATTTGCTTAAAAGGGTCGAATTATCTAATAATCAGATATAATTTTCATAATGAAAAATCATTTAGCATAGAGCCACCATACGACACACATTTCTAATTTTTTTTTACTAACTTTAATAAATATTATAAAGGAATGTCCAATAAATATAACAACGATTTATAAAACTCCAAGAAATTAATTAACTTGATAGAAGGGAGGTATAAATATTGAAATGTTAAATAAATTTATAATATATATTTAAATAAGCTGATTAGTCAAGACTACGAGGCTTTTCATATATATATATATATATATATATATATATATATATATATTTACTTTAATGTTTGTACAGTATATAAGTTATCTACGTTCGCTCCCAAAACGACGTCGTTTTGATTTAAAAATTAAAAAATTATAATGAAAAAGACTATTATAACCCTAAAATACATTATAATTACAAAAAATAGCGTAATTTTCGCCTCAAAATAACGTCATTTTGATCTCACTATAAATAAGTTATCGACATTTATCATGGAAAAAGCGAACCTATGAACACCCAACAAATTGGGCTTTGGAGATTGGCCTGTCAAGCTAAGATGTATGAGATTGAGTCTTTTTTTTTCTTACCTAAATTTCCGAATAATTAATACTGAACATGGGCTAGCATGTAGGTTAATTAGTCAGTCCAACATGTTTTTGTCTGCAGGTTAACTGGACCAGACTTTTGGACCCAAATTTAACGAGTTGAAAGTGAAACAGGTCAACCCTCGTTTCGTGACTCATTTAGCTATAGACGTGAACAAAAAGAGTAAATTAATTTACGTGTCTCTATACTTTTTGAAAAGTCTTTATAATTTAAAAGCTGGAATTAGATCCTTATAATATTTTTTTTCTCTCTCTCTCTCCAAATTTGCTCTTTATGTTGCTTTAATGGTATATATTCTTGATTTAGTGATTCCTATCATTTTTGAATCTTTATTTAAAAATCTCTCAAAAATATATAAGTTAAATTCTAACTTGAAGTAAACTAAAATAACTGTGAAAACTAAATAAAATCAAATTATTTCATGTGGCTAACTTAGAAAGGTCTTATTCAAAAAGAAAAAAAGATGATTACCAAAAAAAAAAAAATGAACACATTTTAGTTCTGCCTTTTCACATGCATGAATAGCTGAATTACAGAACGGTCCAATCACATAATAAACTTATGCCAATTGAATTCTAAAAGAGAGGAAGAAAACAAAAAAAAGGACTTAAAAAATCACAGTCCAAATTGAAGATTTATCAACCTATGAACCAACCAGCTTCAAATCTTACGAGGGACCTGCAATTACCGAAATCCTAGCGTTAGTACTCACTATATTTCAGTAGTATATAAACAAGCTTCGGAGATTCCAAATATCATAAAACAGCAAAATATCATGTTACATATATATCGATATACATGTTACATGTACATTGACTATGAGAAGAAATGAAGATGAGTGCAACAAAATGGAAATGAGTGAAGTTTGTTATGGTACTAATAAATTATTATCAAAATGCTACCTGGGGTTCCCCCAAACGCTTCAGAGAGAGGATAATTTTAAGGCTCCCCTCGTTGAAGTGTTCGAGGGAACACTAGGTGACATCTGATGTGGTATGTGTCCTTGCATTTTGATGGTGTGGCTAAGTACCCCCCACTATTTATAATGGGTTATGCTCTTTGCATTGAGCTGCAAATGGTGCTTTTGTTCATGGCAATAATGGCTAAGATGTAAGGAATTGTGAACCTGGACGCAACATTGGTCAATAGGGATTTAAAGGGAGAGAATATTGTAAGGACAACCGATATCGAGTGGCCACATGCCATTCTGCTCATGTTTTCCTTGTGTCCTCTGTTTAAAGCTATCCTTTTCAGCTTTTTTGGGTACATACTGACAAGGGTTAAAAGGAATCTAGTACCTGAAAGTGTGTGAACTCAACTTTGAGGTCACAAAATGTGTCTTGAATGTGATGCATAATGCATTGATGCAAATGCAACTAGAATGCCCCCTTTTTATTTTGGTATTAAGCTAGAATGCTTTTACCTAGGTAGATCAGAAGTCAAGTGGACAACTCTCTGACCCTTAACTTTTTTTTTTTTTTTTTTTCCTGCAATTTACAAGGCATCTACAAAAGCATTTATTTATTTTTAAGGAAAAATATGTATCCTTTTAAAGAACAGAACTTGTATCTTTTTATTAGTTTTACATTATATCTTATAAATAAAATATAGTTATAATAATTTTTTTTTTTTTTTCACTTTCCACTTCAGCTTATGTGACTAAAAAAAGAGAGTTCCATTTGTGAGGATCCCTAAGGAGTGTGTTAGGGTTTAGGATGCCAATTGATATCTGAAAAAAAAAAAAAACACTTACTCTTTCCAGACTTATGAGTTCAGGTCATGTATTATTTTACTTTGACTTAGGTAGTTAAAAAAGAAATTAAAGTGAATACAGACAATAATTTAAATACAGACGATAATTTAGATTGTAATAATGACTTCTAATTTTCTTAAAAAATATTTATTTAAATATACAACAATATGACTTGCATTAAAAGTGGCAATGAACTCATCCATCATTTTTCATTTTATTCTGTTCAGTAGTTGCTATCAAGATGAATGGGACAATGATGATATCATAACTTCATAAGTGTGATACGAATGTTGAGTCAAAAGGCAAAAAAACATTCATTCAATGTCTTTTTTTCTTTTTCTTTTTTCTATATATCATTCAATGTCTTAGTTAAAAGGTTTTATATGATTATATTCTGTAGTTAGTAGGAAAAAAAATTGCTTTAATATTAAAGGACAAGAGGCACCAATACCATAAAATTGCTTCCAACTGTTTGACAAATTATAATGGCTCCCAGTTTTATTTTAGAGCCACCTCCTTTTTCTCTGGTTGAGAAGCAACTTTAAACTTATGAGTACTTAACTTATTATTCTCCCAAAGAGAAAAGTATAGGGTGGAATATAACTATTTATGTGGTAAGAGTTTTAAGTTACAGACAGTAGTTTTTTTTTTTTCCTAGCTACCCATGATTATTTCTTATTATTGTGTGTGGTAAAATAAAATTCATGACTATGAAAATGACTGAAAGGGATTGAGAACTGATCTTCTGCTAGCTTTTGATGATTTGAATCACTTTACCAGCAACAAACCCACTATGTCATTCAACGCAATAAGGATCTCTCTTCAGTCTTGTGTTCTTGACAGACATCCTGACCAGGTTCAGTATTAGACACTAGACAGAAACTTCATTTACTTAAATTCTCTATCATTTTGTTCTCTCAACTTATTTCTCCATTATAAATAGAACCCTATCTGTGCATTCCCCAACCATGAAGCATGACTCAGGGATTAAATGTTGGTTGTCTCTTGGAGTTCCTCTGAACACTTCACAAGTGGGGCTAGTCCAATTTAGTATCACCAAAGTGAAGTGTTTGGGGGAACTTCATGGTTCAACTAACAATGAATTGTAAAAACAATGATTCAAATTCATTTCAAACCAAGAAGGAACCATGTTCATTTCATTGAAGTGTTTGGGGGAACTCCCGTTTGTTCAACTGAACTCCGGGGTTCTGCAGTGTTCTTTTACATTTTAATATTGTTTATTGCATAGTAAACGGCAAAGGGAAAACCCGAGTGTACAAGGCTTCCTGTCTTGTGAGGGTAGTAAGGTTATTTTTGCAAAGAGGCTATTTCTCGTACTCGAAAACCTTTGGATTATAAGGAACAACCTTACTGCTGTTTCAAGACTCGCCCTAGTGAACCACAAATTAAAAGTTTACATTATTATTAGTTTTTTTTTTATTAGCTAGCTATACTATCCCCAGTTTCTTTCCACATTCTGCCATTATCTGCCTGTTGTTTGATGAGGTTTTCTTATGTGCCAAACAAGACTCCCCGGATCACTTTTGTTTACAAGATCAACAATTTCATTGTTGAATTGACTTCTTGCATTAGATGATTATAAACCTTCTGCCTTCCCACCCTGCTCCAATTCTCACAAGCTTCTGAATGACTCCATTTACCGTTCCCAATGTAAATTCTTGGACGTGGGTCTATTGTCATCTTCTCAAGTGCAATTGCATTCTTTAGAAGATAAATTGCTATTTCAATCTCACTTGAGTAGCCTCTAATGCCGGTTATTGATACTTCCTTGAGATGATTATGTGGGCTTCTTGCTGGCCAACTTGTTTTCCTTAACTTCTCATCAAAATGAAAATAGGTCCTTAGCTGCAACAAATTAGATTGATGTGAATATAATTATAAACAAAAATCAATAAATTTCTGAGATGACATTTCGCCGTTTCCTTATTTCAATTGAAGAGATATACTCTGTTTAACCTCAATAACCGATTTAATTTGAAGGTGTTCATAGTCATACAAATATCCCTCTAAGAGTACCCTGTGTGTAAATGTTGCTGGTTCATGTGCCAAGAGAAAGGGACTTCAATGCATTTTACACAATTTGGGATATTATATGTTTCCATTGGAAACTAGTTATTTCAGGATAGCCTAATTGATATGGTTCTAGGTAGTTACCAAAGTGAATTAAAAAAATTCCAAAACCTGCTCATTTATGCAAAACACACTGGCCTTTGATGATTACATATACATATAAATTGGTAAATCCAAGGATCATATTTAGTTGACAGGGTCAGAATCACACAAAGAAAAAATGAAAAGCTAGCGTGTTATAAAAAAGAATCTTAAAAATTTGAAAAACATACATGCAGCTCTAGTCTTTGGAGTGTTGGACATGCATTCAGAACAGTCACTATCCACGATGGCTCATGTCGAATTATGGCCACTTTTATAACTACTAGATGCCTCAAATTTGGAAATATGGGCAATCTGTTTGTCATAACTTCACCCTGAAAAACAGAATAAAGAAAAATATATCAAACATTTGTAACAATTAATACTCAAAAAAATGTTGAAATTTTGCATGAAAAACTTAAGGATTTTTCACCCTCCATTTTAAGGGAATATCAAATGACTCAAAAAAGTGTGTAAAAGGTACTAAAACCACGTACCATAGAACAGCTGCACTCCAGGAACAAAGTTTCCAGCTGGGGAAGATCAATGGGAAGCCTGAAGACTGGCCAAATTTCTCTATGACAAGCTGTAGAATAACTCACATGACTGAAGAAAGTTTTAAGTCTAGGGGCATCAAACAATAAGTCAATTTTGCATCCATTGTATTCCAAGGTCTCTAAATTGGTGCTCTGGACCTTAATTGCCTGAAGTTGGTGGCAAAGATTGACATTCAGGTGCTTCAACTGCTGGCAAAAGGGGGGATTTATTTTCAGGCAATCCAAATTGTAACATTCAGATAAACTCAACCATTCAAGGTTGTTGCAGCAAGACAATAAAATCTGGATGTGCTCCTCAGATTTAAAATCTACTTTCAATAGTTCCAGAGTTGTGAGTGTACTAAAACCGTAGTTATAGGACTTGTGGGGGGCAAGTACACAATGTGCCAAGCGCATGCACTTCAGAAATGACTTGAAGCCACTTGCATCCCCATTGCCAACAATATCACAAGGGAAAACATATAAGGATCCATCATTTGGAGCACTGAGTTGATGATTCTCTTCCATCAAACAAAGATCAATCTCTTCTACGTTTCTTTTCATCACAAAACGAATCCAGTCATCAAGATCAGTACAGCCATACCTGTTATGACGAAATGTGAAGCAAACCTTGAGCATGTGAATCTTTTGGACTTGTTCAACACTTGACAAGTATTGGTTGACATTACCTACGAATGCATAAGATCTATTCTTTTTAATTAGGTACCTTAGCACCTCGCTTAGGTAACAAATATTTGTAGCCGAGTAATCTTCTTCTCTCTCTAGTATGCTGTCTGCATCCAAAATAAGGTTGGTTGGAGTAGTACAAATGTTCCTCCATCTGGATGACAGAACACTGGTCTTGACAGCTTCTCTGATCTTGAGGGAAGATAAAATGTTGCATAATATGCTATCGGGAAGTTCGCTGATATAATCTTCACTACTTTCCACTGCCCTTTGTTTCTTCCTTCGGTTATTCGCCATCATTTTGTGCTCCTTTCTAAAAACTTGAGGAAGAAGTGGCCGTAGCCAAAAGGGAGAGGATAACTATCCCAAAATGGTATTTATAGGGTGAGGGTTAGAGAGGAGTGCGGAAACAACAAAGTACAGGGTCTGTCTTTAGTGCAATGAAGCAAGATATCTCAGAATATATATGGTTAAAATTGACCATAGACTAATTGGAGTTATCCACATTAGCCGGCATATAGTTGCTTATTTAATATATGAATCAAAACCATTAGGATCCATATCTTTGCTTTGAGTGTCCCTTTATGGAAAATTCTATGTATGTATGTGTCGGGAGTATCTATCAAAGAGAGTAAATAATAAACTGCATGTTCTTCTTGCTGGCTTATTTATCATTTAATAATGGGATTGGATTCTCTCAACAATATTTAAATCCTTCGGAATATGTATTTCAGACTCGTATTAATCGATCATGATTGTAAACGAACCAGATCACTTTCCATCTTGTAACGTTTTTACCATCTTTTAGCCTATACGGTCATCCCAATGCAAGAGATTGAGAGTCAAGTTAACAGGTAGCTGATATATCTAATATTTCTGTGTATTACCCTTTTTATTATATTCATAATGGGTTGCCACGTAGCTTTTTTTTTTTTTTTTTTTCCATGTTTCAGCTTTTCAAGAAGTTTCCTGGCCTATACTACTTTGATAAACTCAACATCAAATATTGGATTTTCTAAACGTAAGTGTGATATAGTAAGCTATCGAATGTACTCAAAGATAAGTTTTTTTTTAGTATTTCTACTAACCGGTTCATCCTTTAAGACTAATCCGGCCGGAAGTTGAGAGCAACAAATGTACTCTCCTTCCCAACAGATGCGTTTTCCGGATGTAGAACTTGAGTCCTCCACCTTACGGAGACCAAGCATGCTTTCACTTAGCCAACACCTTGTTGGTTACTCAAGATAAGTTATTACATAAAACTTGTAATTTGGATAATCAATTATAACCATAGGGAAAAAAAAAAAAAACCTTACAACCACTAAAATGCTCTAACCATGAATAATGTTAACAATCTGCGACAGGAATAGCATTATGTTGAATACGACAAATTCCTTGCTCTAATTTGAGTGTTTCTCTGAAAATTTCTGGGTTTACCTTCGTAATTAAGTATGCCTACCTTTCCAAGTTGGCATACATGATAATAACATCTAATTAAGTTTAGTAAGACTCGCATAATACAAACTTTAACTAACCCACTCTTTAACTTTTATGTTGGAATTTTAAATTAATAGAGAACAGCATTTGGAAAATTAAACCCATTAACTTGTGATGAATTTTTGTTACTTGGCTATAAGTACACTTGAAATGTATAATATTCTTATACTGGCACACATGATAAGATTGTCCATTAATTAGTTGAACACAAAGAAAAGAGTCAAATGACCATGGATGATTGCACATGTGATGGAACTTCCCCACCAAAGCTTTTTAAGGTGCGATCAGTCTGATTCCCCAACCCAACTTCTTAGTAGGAGTAATCGCTTTGCTAAATCTAAAATCTCCAATATATATATAGAAGGTAATATCTCCATGATAATCCAATATATATAAAAGGAAATATCTCCATTCTCATGGAGATATCTCCTTGTCCATATTTGTAGTTTTTGTTTCATTCAACATTCTAAACGTTTAGGCTACCACTCCAAGCGCTTAAGAATGGTTATGTCCAATGACATTGGAATACTATTTTGTCTCAAGGATATAGTATATTAGGATTAGGACTTTACCTATGTTGATTCTTCTCCTCGGCTATAACCGTGTTGCTTTTGGCTGTTTTAATTTCCTGTATGGATTCGTACCACTAATGTCAGAGTTAATATATCACTATTATCGTAATTTCAAAAAAAAAACAAAATACTATTATTATCGTAATCCACGCATTTACGTAATATTCCGACTGATTTAATGACCGATCTAGTGTAATAATATTGATTGATAGATTTTTAATTACAATTAACAAAAAAAAAAAAGAAATTCTCTATGAGTGAGGTGGAGGAAGGTTCCAACCCCCTATACATATGTCATTAGAAATCAGTGAATATGATGGCAATTTTTTCACACAAAATATTTTTGTCTTTGATTCTCTAATACAACACTCTATGGGCAAAGCTAATATGATCTAATATCACAACTACTCTTGACTTGTAACGTTCAAGCTAGGGTTTGGGTCAAGAAGGGGTTGTACTTGTACGGGTTGCGTGAAATGAAAGAAGTCTGATCAACATAGGCTTGGGTCAGGTTGGTCTGACTTGGGCCTGGTTTAGCATTTGGATACCGTACCCATGGAGGTTGAAACAACGCTCCTTTGTGTGACCCAACATTTAGCAATGGCTACAAAAGTGTTGTTTCTGATGTTGCGAAGAAGTGGCTGTCACAAAAGGTGAAATACAATTTGAATGCATCAATTGTTGGAGCGTATATTTATTTGGTTTTTTAATCTTGATGGTTGTTAGCATATATTTCACAATAGTGGATTATTGAATTTGAAGTATATGAAGTGATATATGTGGTGGTTTTTAATACCTTGTATAAAGTTTAGGAGGCTTAAATTTATCCTGTTTTAAGTTCATATAAACCATCCTTTAAATTTCATTTTCAAAAAATTTGATTGCCATCCTCTAATTACTATTGTGTTTTTGGGTGGAAGTATACACAACTATGTATGGGGGGGTTGGAATATTCCTCCATCTTACCCGTAGAGAATATTTTCTGATGTACCTATGACCTATCAATGATGTATGACTAAATACATGTGATATATGTACATAAAGTAATACCAGCTCATATCAGAATAAAAATACTATATCAAATAATTTATGTACATTATTAGGGAGAACGATATCCTTGTGATGCAAATTGAAAAAAATAAAATAAAAAATTCCCAAATAATATTGTTTTCAAATATAATATCAATAATGTAGTAACTCCCGCACCCTATTCATGTGACACTAGTCTCACATCACGCACTACCCCATTCGGGACTGCCATGTGTTGCAGGCTAATAAGGGAAGGGGTTTATTTTGAATAAAAATTAAATGTGACTACTCTCATATGACTAAGGATTCAGCTGGTTCTTTGACCCATTTGAGGTTTTTATTTCTTTAATTTTTTTTAATTTAATATTTGATTCACGGTATTTATAAAATGATGATCATCAAGTGATGCGAGGGAGACTCACAGGATTGAGCCAAGTGGCACAATCTCGTTATTTCCGTTATCGTAAAACTTCAGAAAGTCATAACTTTTGACTCAAGTATCCAAATCAGATGTTTTTTTTTTATTTCACATAACTTTTCGAGATCTACGCAATGATACCTCATTTAACATATTTTATCTTCCATTAACATAGTTCAAATTTGCAACACTAGTTCCACTTTTTTTACAGATTTGAACTATGTTTGTGAAAGATAAAATATGTCAAAAGAGGTGTCATTGCGTAGATCTCAAAAAGTTATGTGAAATAAAAAAATATTTGATTTGAATACCCGAGTCACAATTTATGGCTTTCCGAAGTTTTACGATAACAGGACTAACGAGATTGTGCCACTTGGCACAATCCTGTGAGTATCCCAGGGGAGGGGGCGTCACTCAATTGAAAAAGAAAAGAAAAGAACGTGAGTGACGCGGAGAGATAATGGCGGCACTCAGTGATGCTGGATCCCCCTCGCGTCACTCAATGACCCTTATTGATAAATACCGTAAACCAAATACCAAATTGATAAATTAACACCCCAATTGGTGAAAGAGCCTCGAATTGCGCCACATAATGTAATCCTGAAAGTGTTGAGGGGGCTTGTCACACTCAAAATTTTAAAAGTATTGGATAATAAAAAATTAACTAGTTGCAAGTTCCTTCGACACTCAACTTAAAAGAAGAAAAAAGAAAAAAAGAAAAAAGAAAGAAAAAAGATGGAGTGAGAGAGAGAGGTGATAATATTGGGGAGGGGGGTTTCAAGTCATTAATCACCTCAATTAAAAATACCAACCGATGATTTCTGTAACATCTCCGTCTTGAGCTGGTTCAATTAACATGCATATGATACAAACAGAAACAACGGAAGACTTAACTTACGAAAATACGAGCTAACTTTTCCTTTTTCTAGATTAATTCTTATTCGGAGAAGACGAAAATCGGACAGAGTAACCTCTGTAAATCGGACAACTGAGAATTTTTCAATCACATTCTCAAAAGTTCCTGATAGACAGTTTATGCAGCATATAAATTCAGAAGTACAGACATCCAAATATAATCATATACCCATACATGGGCGCATGCATAACTTGGCTCCGTGCCACTAAATCTAACAACATGCAATCCAATACGTAAACATAACTGAATACTACATAATCATATAACGTGCCTGAATACCCAAATGTACATGCATCAAACTGACAGACATGTACAAAACATATACAGGCCATAAACAAAATGAAGGATCCAACATCATGATCCACAAAATACTGAAATACTAAATGAAAGCACTGTACTCCAAAATAGAAGTAGCCTACAGCTACTCAAAATCTAATGTGTCGAGATTCCTCAACCACGGGTCGCGTCCCTGCCTAGTGAGGGCTCACCGGGGATCTGAGAACCTGAAATGATGTCCCCAAAGAGGGGTGAGATAACAAATCTAAATAAGCTCCAGGTTTATAGAGAATTCTCCATACCCCTGGCTCACTCCTGCATGAAAGTCAGATACAAAATATACAAATGTACATATAACAGATATCATAACAGAACAAAGCATATATCCATATCATATCAGAGGCGTGCGCCGTCATTTCCAAGTGAGGACCCCAAGCGGAAATTAACGCACGTGTTCTCAAGGGAGGACCCCAAGCAGAACCAGAACATGTCAGAGGCATACATCGTCAATCTCAGGGAAACCCCAAGAAGACATCAGTGTACCATACAATCAATACAAAAATCATATCAGAACAAGTCATATCATGTT